TCATTTAGATTATTAAAATTAAAGATGTTTGATTCATATAATATTTAGATTAAGTTGAAAAAATTATTTATATCATTTTATTTGATATTTGATGTACTCGGATCTAATCTATTTTATCATCATAAAAGTTAGTTTTGTTTTTTAATTATTTTGATGTTAATATGAAATTGTATTAGACCTAAAGTAAATACAATTTGTAAAAAAAATTTTTGGGAAACTTATAACAAGGACATGATCATGAATAAGGGCAAGATCCATTTGAAGAACTTAGGACTTATGACAAGGGTTAGAGCAAAAGAAGATCTTTAACAAGTATTATCTATATTATTTGCATAAAAAATCACATTTCAAAGAGAAAAGACCAAAATTGTGAATTGCATCATGACCCAAATGGAGGAGGACTAATGCGTCACTTTGTTTCGATATTTAAGTTTGTTTAAATAATGAGTCAATCTTTTGTAAAATTGGTTGACCAAATTATGTTTTGGGTTAATCAATTAATGGACTTTAATTTGTTTTTGTTTTAAGTTGTAGTAATTGTTTTTGTTTTGGGTTAATCAACCTTTAGGAGACCAATATGATATATAACTGATTGACTTTTGGTTGTCATAATTTCAATTACAATCAACCATTAAGTAGTTTTCAATCCTAGGTTAATGAATCATTATTAACATTTATTTGCTTCCATTAAATAATTTTTAATTCCTAGGTTAATAGATCATTATTAACATTTATTTGGCTTTATTAAATAGTTTTCAATTTCTAGATTAATAGATCATTATTAGTATTTATTTTTTTTATTGAATTTTTTTAACTCTTAACCATTTTTATCAAAAATACAAGTGCAATTTTATTTAGAAATATTAGAGTTTAACTCTTTTATCTTGGTGAAAATAATTCTTCTAAGTTATTGAGTGATTCAAGAACTCTTGGTTATATCAAAGGACTTTTACCTCCTTTGTGAGTTGTTTCTTTTTAGAATATTGATTCTTTCCTTCGACCTTTTACGTTCACCTCTTGTTCTTCCTTCACCAAAACCCAAAAAACTCAATTTTGCTCAGATTTATTTCTTGGTCATAACTTTTTGTTCCCCATATTGAGTATTTTTTTTAGCCTAGATTGAAATTTAAAACGAGAACTTTCATCTCGTTTTTTAATTACCTCAATCGAAGTTTTATAGTTTGAGATACTGACGTTTCTAAAATTTTGCTCAACCTTAAAATTTTCACCATTTTCTAATATATCTTCTCACTAATTTCATATAAGGTTCTAACTCCTAGAGATCCTAAGTCAATCATTGTGTAAATGAATTTCGTATCATCTTCCTTTTTAGATAACTATGGACAAGATTTACTATGGAAAAAAAATCAATTTTTACTTTAAAAGTAGAGTAAAAAAGAGTAAATTAATATATATTTTTTAGGAATTAAAATACATATTTTGTAATAAAATGTAAATTTTTTTTTTTTTTGGTGAGGGAGGGAGGCAAGAGTAGTCCTTCTTCCCTCTTTCCCACTGTTACCTCCTCGAGTTACTTGGCGTGACTTGAAAGGAAAGCCACCATTAATGAGAAAATGTGATTCTACATCTTTTACATTATATCGATTTAAAAAAAATTGAAGTAAAATTTAATAAAGTGTCAATTCGTAAATATTAGAGATATATTTTATGTCTATTATTGTTTGAATTAATGTAAAAAGTAGATACTACATCAATTGGAGAAGGATCAATGAAATATTTACTTTTACATTGGCTCAAATAAGGGAACATAACATCTCTTCTTCACTTTTCATTTGCGCCACACGAGTTTTATTATCACTTTTCTTAAGTTCTTATTCCTTTTCTCTTTTCTTCTCTCTCGTAGTTTCTTCCTTCTCCACAACACAGTGCCTATTGTTCTCCTCCACTATGATGCTGCCAAGTGTTTTCCTCCACCATTTACCATCTTTTCTTCTTTGTGTCACACGTTCTTTCTTTTTCTTAAGTTCTTCCAAACACCTTCGTGACAAACATCTAAACTCCTTGTCAATCACCGTTTTCCATTTTGCTTAGCCACCTCTTTTCCTTGTGCCACCCTCCTAGCTTCTCTTACTAAGTTACAAATTTGAATTTATTTTTGATATTATTTTAATTTATTTTGTTATAGTTTAAAATATAGAAATATGTCTATGAATATATTATTTAAAATAGAGAAAATGAAATTTAATGTAGAAATTTAAATATAGCAACATGTATGTTACTAGTTGTGAAATTGTTTTGAAAGTTATTATAATTGTAGGTGGTAGAAGAAAAAATAAGTAAAGTAATTTAAAAAACAACAACACATATTACACTGGTAATGAAAATAATTAATATAAAAATGTCTTAATTTTTTTTAAAAGGATTACACTAAAAGGTATTTGCATTACTCTCAAAGGCCTAAATTGGCCACTAATATTACAAATTACCATACAAATTAGGAAAAAATTCACGTTTTGTCGATAATATTTCTAATTTCGTTGGTAAAGTAAAAAGAAATTTGATCGATAATATTACAAAGCCAGTTGGTAATTTAATCAATAATAAATATAAAAAATTAGTGAATCATTAACATAATCTCCATGTCAATCCATATAATGAAGAAATATAAAAAATAATATATATATATATATATATATATATAATCTTATTTTATTATTAGTATTTGATGTAATATATATAATAATTATTTATGTTATTTTTTTAAAATTAAATATTTAAAAAAAATGTAAAAGTTGTAAAAGTAAATATTAAAAATAACATGTTAAAAAATGTTTAAATTCTAAAATTATTCTTTCTGAAATAGGTAATTAAGGAGAAAAAATGTTTTAATTTATGATAAAAAATGAATATTTAATTGATAAAATCTGAATACTCATGCAAGACTAAAATTATGCTTACTAAAAAAAATATCATATTAAGTAGGTATGAAAACATTAATCATATAATTTGGAATCTTATTTATAAATTATAAGAAAACGAAATTATATATAATTTGTATAAAATTATAAAGCAAGCGTTGTGGAACAATTTAAGTCTTATTCTTAAAAAAAACAAAAATTATTAGATATTCAATCCCATAAATAAATTTGTGATAGTTTTTCAATAACATATAAAAATTAAACTCATTGAGAAGTTGTTTATACTAGAATACATTAAGTCAAGATAAAGATAACAGAGTATGTAGAGAATGATATTATTTTACTATTATGTAGAATGATATTTGAATAATTTACGTGAAATTTAATATTAAAATTAATAGGTGTTATAATTGATTGAATACAATAATTTTTGTTATCTATATACAAGGATTTTTGGATTTTTTTTGTTATCACCAAATTGTTTTCATCAGTAAATTCAACGAGCTAATTTTGGTGTATGAAAAATATAGTAGTCAAATTTTATCCCTTAAAGTTTTTAGAAGAATGTGACATTTCTTCTACCTAGTAAGTACATAAATAAAGATTTAATTAGAGAATCTAAAATTATTTCCTAAATAATCGTAACCATGAACAATAAACAATTGTAATGATCGCACAAGGTCCAACAACCCAAGTCATTATGGACTGCTATATAAGTTGCCCAACAATTCTAGTTCACATTGGTCATTCAGAAGGGTCCAACTATCCCGAAGTTGTTTTAGAGTGAGAAACAACACTTTGTAACACATTTTCATTAGGTGTTTAATATTAATATAACAAAAGTATATAAATCACATATAGTTATAAAAATTTCAAGATAATTGTTATAAAACTTTAAAAATCTTATTAACACTATAAACACTACATAAAATTTAGATTATCTCTAATTTAATTATCATATTCTAATAAATTAGAGTCGATAATCCAATTTTCTATTAAGTGAATGACAGAAGTGGAGGATATAACTCTAATTTAATTTTATTCATTCCGATCTAGTCAAGATTTGTACAATTTTTTTCCTAAAATAATATGTAAAAGTCAATTAGTTTGTTAATAGTTAGTAAGGATTACTACCTAGAATAGTAATTGTTTATTTTCGTTCAATTAGTTGATTTTTTCCTTTGATTAGGGTTCTCGCTAACCCTATATAAGCGATTTTCTTCTCTTTTTGTTAAAACAGTCAACACATAATAAATAATACATAAATAATTATAGATTACCTAGTTAATTGTGTCCTAGAATGATTTATCAATTGCATCTTCTACCACGAACTCTCTTTCTCTTTTGTAATGCTGAATTCTCGTTTCCTTCCGATTTTTCTCAAAACCTCTATGTTTTGGTTTCTTCTTTGCATTTTCAGCGCATGTTTTTTCTTTTTTTTAATCTTTAAGGATGTGCCCTTCATCACAATTTCTATTAAAAATGTAAAAAATATTTTTATATAATATATAATGGACTCAAATAAACTATATGATAGGAAAAATTATAAAACTATATTTACATAATTATATTATAAAACTTAATTTATAATAATTAACAAAAAAATAGTGAAGAATATATTGGTTTGATTTCAGTTTATTGAATTTAAAAATCACAAATATGATACTTGATCGATCACTACCAAATAGATAGATAGGTTTAGTTTTGGTCAAATCGATCTAAATAATTTAATTTGGATTCTCAATGGGATTGAACCAAACCAATAAATATTTGCTGGGGTGGCTTGGTCGGTTGCAAGTCAACAATAGTCGGCACCGAATTATGATTCAAGAAAGGTGGTGAAATTTTCTTGGCTTATTAGACCTCTACAAATAGAGAAGAAAACACCATTCCAACATTATCAATCACGATAAAGAAGATTCTTATAGAGTGAGGAAATTTCTGTAGTTAAGCTTGGGATTATATATATACGTGTAGTTTTAGAATAAGAATCACGAAATTAGTTAACTGTTGGGAAAGAGTACAGTAAAGGTATGTTGTAATACACTTTTCTATCATAAATTTTAGAGTGCTGCTTTTTATACTTTTTATATTTTTATAGTGTGAGGAGCCTCTAACATCATGAACTATGAAAGCAAAGTTGATGAGATGAAGAGTACTACTGAAGAGGTGAAGGACGAGCATGAAAAGGGTTCTTGGCCATTGCAAAGTTCCAACATCCCTAACTTTGAATGGCAAATAGATCATAGAATGAAGAGTGAGAACATGTCTAGCAGTACACTAAAGGCTACCTGGCCATCACAAAGCTCCAACATCCCTAATTATGAATGGCATGTGGATCATACGATGAGGAGTACTGAGCAAGGGCGTTTCAACTTTTCTGGTTATGAATCAAAGTTGGATCTTATGATGAAGAGTGCTGAACAAGGGCATTTCAACATTTCTGGTTATGAATCAAAGTTGGATCTTATGATGAAGAGTTCTGATCAAGGGCATTTCAACTTTTCTGGTTATGAATCAAAGTTGGATCATATGATGAAAAGTCGTCAAGAGGAAAGTTTGGATATCACTACTTATGAATGGCAAGTAAATCGTGGGATAAATAGTGAACAAGGGAATGATCAACCTTCGGATGTTTCATGGTTAAAGGAGTTCACGGTTACATTTGAAGGCCCACATGGTAAATCATTGTTTTAAACTACAAAATAAATCTCTGGTTGCCACATTATAATTCTGCACTTCCAATAAGTTTTTAGGATTTCTCAGTTCTTTCTTCACCTTGGAGATTGTAGAAAGGAGATTAAGTCATAAGAAACCAAAGCAGAGTTATCATCATTAAGAAGTTTAAATTTACTGGAAGAAACTATACCTTCACAAATTGAAATGTTGAGGTTTTGGACGAAAGGAATTGAACAAAGATTACTTCTAACTGTTGGGACTGACTCATTAATCAGAACAAAGATGTCTAATTTAAAACCAACTTTTTATAAAGTTTTAAAGTCATAAATCAAAGATGTCTAACAAATAAATATATTAGTAAAAAATGCTGTTTAAATAAAATCAATTTAGAACAAATGAATAATTGAGCTTTTACAAAACAAATAAGATATGATTTACTTCTAAGATGAACAATTTTAGTTAGTATCAATAAACCTTGAGCATATGAACTTAGATAAATTAAAGCGTAAAATGTTGAAATAATTATATATAGAGAGAAAGGAGGTAATGTTGCTTAAAAATGAATTTCTCACTTAAATTGTATTTTTTAATTAGATTTTAAAAATGTTCTTTTTGCCTTTCTCGTCTGAGCCGCGACTTACTGTGTATTCCATTGCTTAAATTGTGATTATGACAAAGAATTTCCAATTATGTTTTCTTTTATTATTTTTATTTTTAATAGTATACCTGTGTATTTGTTTGAAATGATTCCAACAGTTATACAAGTGCACTTGACATTGGATTTCAAATAATGATCCAATTGACATTTTAATTGCAAATCTAGAACTGTCAAACTAGAATATGATAGTACGACATTTTTTTTAGGTGTTGGTGCAGTCCTACTATAATGTTATGTGTAGGATATCTTAGGTGACAGACCTGATCCTTTCAAATAAAAAGGTAAAATAGAAGAAATTAAGAAAATGTTGGAAATGATTCATGGCATGAATAATATTGATAAGGAATTTCAAGATCTCATTGATGTAATCAAAGTAGCAAAAAAAAGTGGAACGGTAAAAAATCATTACCCAACCAAAATATAAACCTTAACTCACTTTTGTTCTTTAATCACTACAACACATACATCAAATAGTGACTGAATTTTCGATTACTAAATGATTAAAATCGGTCACTAATTAAAATAATGACCAAAATAGTAACCAACCCAAATCGGTCACTCTTTCCGTGGTCGCTGATTTCAGTGACCGATTCAGTGACCGATCGAGTCAAACTATAAACTTTAACTCACTTTTGTTCTTTAATCACTACAACACAAACATTAAATAGTGACCGAATTTTCGGTCATTAAATGACCAAAATCGGTCACTAACTAAAATAGTAACCAACAACTATATCGGTCACTATTAAAAATATTTTTTTATAACCCCTTTCTATTTTATCTAATTATAAAATTCTCTAACCTCCCTTTTATATTCTTTTATAATGTATTTTAGGAATTGTCACTGGCAGGATTCAAATCCAGTACCTTAGAGTTAAAGACTAATACTCCAACCACTAAGCTACTAAGAGTTTTTGATAATAATTTATAAATAAATTATATTTATATACAAATAAATAAATAAATATATATATATATATATATATATATATATATCAGTGTAAATATATAAATACAAAATATATAAATACAAATACAAATATATTTATATGTTGGATGTGAGAGCGCGTTCGAGGGTGAAAATGTGTGTCGAGTGAATTTTTAAAATTTGATGTCAAATTTGTGGGCGAGTATCTTTATATGGGTTTATAATTTAATGACAGAATATAATCTTTATAATTTATTTATATAATGATATAAAATAATTTTTTTCTTTATTTATTTTAATTTTAATTTTTTTTATCTTTTTTCTTCTATTATTTAATTAAAATTCTTATATTAAAATAATTTTTTCAATATTAAAAATAATTAAATATTTATTTTTAAAATTATTTAATTTAACAAATTATTATAAATTAATCTAATTATGATTATTAATAGAACAATTTTTTCCTAACATATATTATTATAAATTAATCAAAATCATCTTTCAATAATTATTTTTTCCAGACATAGATTAATTCATAATAATTTGTTAAATTAAATAATTTTGAAAAATAATTTTGAAAATAAATATTTAATTATTTTTAATAATGAAAAAATTATTTTAATATAAGAATTTTAATTAAATAATTGAAGAAAAAAAGAAAAAAAGAAAAAATTAAAATAAAATAAAAATAAATAAAGAAAATAATTATTTTATATCATTATATAAATAAATTATAAAGATTATATTCTATTATTAAATTATAAATCCATATAAAGAGACCCGCTCACAAATTTGACATCAAATTTTGTAAACTCACTCGACACACACTTTCACCCTCTAGCGTGACCTCGACATCAAACATATAAATATATAAATATATCAAAATATATAAATATATTTGTATTTATAAATTTTATATTTATATATTTACACGGATATACATTTATTTGTATATAAATATGATTTATTTATAAATTTTTATTAGAAAATTCTAACAGTTTAGTGGTTGGAGTATTAGTATCTAACTCTAAGGTACTGGTTTTGAATCTTATTAGTGATAATTTTTTTAATCTGATAAAAAAAAACTTTGTTAATAAGAGAATTTATATATTTTTGTGGTAAGACGATGAGATTTTTAGGTTAAACTAAAATTAGGGCAACTAAGTTGTTGTTATGGACTAAAACCCAAAAAGTAAAAAATAAAAAATATAATTAAATAAAAGAAAAAATATATACTTTTGCATTTTTATTTTCAAATATTAGTTTTTTTATGAAATTAATTTTAATTAATTATTTTGATTTTTTTAACATTTTTTTAAAATAAAAACGATAAAACTTAAAATTAATTTCTAACTAAATCTTCACAGATTTATGGTTAATAGTATATTATATTATTATGTTTAATTAAATTTTAAAATAAATTCACTTAATCTTTACACTTTTATAAAAATACTAATATAAACTTCAAATATTTATCCAATTATTAAATTATTTAAAATATTAATATAAATTTGAAATATCAATTCAATAATTAAAATAATTTTAATTTTTTTATAAACACATTGAAATACATTTTTATTAAAATAAAAGTAATATATATATATATATATATATATATATATATATATATATCAAAAAGAGACTAAATTAATAATTAATTTAATCATTGATTATATATATAAAAGAGACTAAATTAATAATTACTTTAATGATCGATTTAGTGATCGAATCAGTGACCGATTCGGTGACTAATTCAATAATTAATTTTAATTTTTTTATTCACATACTAAATTAAAAAATAAAATCAAATAATTATATTACTAAATTATTTAATAAGTTAATAAACTATTTTTTAAAAATTTTATAATGTTATTAAATTTTTTATCAATTATTTTAAATTATTAAGTAGATTTATATTTAATATATTATTAAAATATTTTAAAAAAATATTTATATAAATAAAAAATGGTCACTAATTTATAGATTATTTGTTTAGTGACTGAAATTTTAGTCACTAAATCAGTCACTAGATATAAACAGAGAAATCAGTCACCGATTCAATTACTATTAGTAATTGAATTTTTCGGTCACTAATTTTGATCACTATTAACCATTTTTCTAGTAGTGACCGAATCAGTGACTGATTTGGTGACCGAATCAGTGACCGATTTCCGTGACTGAAATTTTAGTCACTAAATCAGTCATTAAATATAAAACAGGAAATCAGTCACTGATTCAGTTACTATCAGTGACTGAATTTTTCGGTCACTAATTTCGGTCACTATTAACCATTTTTCTAGTAGTGAATCTCATTCATCCAATAATTTGTATCAATGTCATCATGTTTTATGCATATGTCCTTTTCAAAATTTTAGGATTTATTCATGATACTTCCCTTATGTCCTCGGATATAATTGGAGATGTTAATGTGTGGTTGTCACTCTTGTTTCCATTTTCTCTGTGGACAAGTATGGAAGAAGGATGTTATTACTCGAAAATGACATTTAAATACTTATTTAGGTAAAATCCTTAACTTAATAAGTAAATATGCTTATTATTTTTTGTAATTTAAAAAAATATTTTTATCACGCATGTTAAGTCATTTGGTAGCACAGATAACTAATTTCAAGGTGATAATAATTATTTATAGGTTGTTGGAACCATGATTGTTATGAGTTTGCATTAAGTAGTGAAGGCTCCTTTACCAATAGAAAAGCTAGTCTTCTTCATATGTGCATATGTTGCAGCATATGCATGGTCTTGGGTTTATGGTGGTTGGTTCCTAGTGAGACATGCTCTCTAGGACAAGACATCAAAATTGATGTGAATATGGTGTTTACCTTGTTAATGTTCAAAATTTTCTAATTATATTTTGTCACTAAGTTTGGTTTTTTCCTCTTCTTTGTTGGATTTATGATAATTGTTGGATTTATATTTATCATGACAATTTTATTTTACCTTATTTCTACCTGAATTAAGGAAGGTTCAAATTTAAAAAATTAATAAAATATGAAAATCACACTAATTTTGAACTAAAATCATTCTAAATAATACATTCATGGATAAACATTCTCATATGATCACACCTTAAAATTCAATTTTTTATTATTTAAACAAATAAAATTTTATCATTTTTGATATAATCTCATTGTAATTAAGTAATTCTTATAGTTTTTTAACAATTATGTTGATCTTAATAGTGATATAATGTAACTTTACCTTTTGATACGACTTTCCTTTGACTAAAAATCCGAAGATGATGTAGTGGTAGGTAATTTTCGTACTAATTTTTTATTCATTATCTATGGATTTATAGGTAATGTACCTACTAACAGGGATTTATAGGTAATTTACCTACTAAGTTGGATCCACATCGTATTGATATTAAAGTACGAAGGATGAAAGTAATAAAATCGAACCCAAAAGGAGTCAAGTAATTTTGACCAAATTCTAATCAAATTTAAGTAAGAGAAATAAATTCACCCAAATTCTTACACGTTATTTATTTTTGTGTATTTTTTCCGTGTGACTACACGTGCCTCTCACCTCAGTTTGTTATACCTTTTTCTCTTTCCTTTAACAGTTTTATTCCTTTTTATAATATCTCAACAAAAAAAATTGAAGATAAGGTTAACTTATCTTAATGATTAAGATTTATCTAAAATGACTTCATTAAGTAAAAAAAAAAAATAAATATGGCTATAAATGGGAGGGGGAGGGATAACGAAAGAGGAAAGAAAAAAAATTGAAGGAGAATAAAGGGAAAGAGAGGAGAGAGAAGGAAAGAAAGAAAGAAAAAAAAGGAGAGGAAAAAGAGAGAAAAAAAGAAAGAAACAGGAAGGGAGAATAGAAGGAGAGAAAGATAACTCACTACATCATTTGCCGTTTTAAAGTAGGGGAGATGAATGTTATTATTAAATCTTTTTTATTTTGTTTATAGTTGTGGAGTGAGGTGTCCCTATCCTCATTCTATTTATTTAGTTATTTGTTTATTTATCTCTAACTACTTAATGGTCTTGTCTTATGCTTGTTTATTTTATCTTCAGTCTTGCACTGGTCCCATTTTAATTATCTCCAGTTATGTACTGGTCTGATTTGTTTATTTTATTTTATCTCCAGTCTTGCACTGGTCTTATTTTAATTATCTCCAGTTATGTACTGATCCTGTTTGTTTACTTTATTTTCTCTAGTAATGCAGTGATCTTATTTATTAATTTATAGTTATATTATTCAATTATAATAATATCTATTTTTGAAGATTTGATGATATTGTAGATGGAGTTGGACCTTGGGGATTTAAATGAGTAAATATCACTGTGAGAGTGATTAAAATTGGACTCATTTATCCTGACTAGTCACTATAAATTTAATTTAAATATTTATAAAATAGAATGTGTTGAGGAAGTTGAAACATATATATCTATATATTATAAGATTGTATTATTGTAAATGATAAATGTTCTCACTCCCTATTATGATCTTTTGTGCATGTTTATTTAAATACCAACTTAAGTAGATAGAGACGTCAAATATTCCAAATCCCTTTTCTGCAAGCATCATTGCTTTCTTTCGAGGAACTACTTGGAACACGAACGTTCTAAACAACTCGGTTACTTTTAGAGGGACAGGATTATCAATAATAACATTTGTATCCGATATGAAAAATCTCATTATATTACATGGACCAGTAGTGATTACCTTTTGTATGTCTCCTACCTTTTTTCAAAACCCTTTAATCAGTTTGTTTCTACTAGCAATGTAGATATTTATAAAATTGTAGAAAAAATAGAAGGAATCAAAAATAAAATTCCTTCTTATTTTGTGTATCTTATATATATATATAGTGACGTAAATTATTTTTACATATATATGTAATATTTATATATATATATAGTGATGTAAATTGCTTTTATATATATATATATATAATATTTTTTTTGACATGTTACTCTTATACAAATTATAATAATAAAAAAAAATGTCACTTTTCTCTCTGTATATAAGCTAATATTTTAGATAATGAGAATCAAGAGCTGTTATTTGATCGTCTCTATCATGTGTCTTTTACTTTTCTCATGGATGCCAAAATATTCAATATGATATCAGAGATCTTCATATGAAGATTTCTGTTGTGCCCTCTGATTCCTTTCTTTTATTCATTCGTCATGAATGACACTACCATCACCATGGATGACTTCTTATATCTCCATCCAAATGAAAGCCCAGCAACATCTCTTGTCTCACTAGTATTAGATTCTGGAAATTATCATTCGTGGAGTAGATCGATGCTTACTGCATTGAGTGCCAAAAATAAATTGGAGTTCGTTGATGGAGACGCACCAGAACCGCCAAAAACTAACCGAAAATATGGAGCCTGGCAGAGGTGCAACAACATTGTCGTATCCTGGATCGTTCACTCTGTTTCACCTCCGATCAGGCAGAGTATCTTATGGATGGACAATGCTGAGGACATCTAGAAAGATCTAAAGTCATGTTACTCACAAGGAGATCTCTTACACATATGTGACCTTCAATATGAAGTTACATCAATGAGGCAAGGTAATCTCTTTATAACAGAATTCTTTACCAAGCTTCGAGTAATATGGGATGAGATTGAAAACTTCTGACCTGATCCTGTTTGTACCTGTGTCACCAAATGTTCATGTTCTGTACTGGGCATTATTGCCCAACGAAAGCTCCAAGATCGAGCGATGCAGTTTCTTCGAGGATTCAACGAGCAATATAACAATGTCTGATCGCATATCCTCCTCATAGATCCCATGCCATCAATATCAAAAATCTTTTCCTACGTTGCACAACAGGAAAGACAACTTATGGGGACCCTTGTTGATCATCCTGGATCAGAATCTAAAGAGAGTCTAATTAACGCGACAAATTCTATTTCACTCACATGTGAATTCTGTGGAAAAACTGGACATCCAGAAAATGTTTGCTACAGGAAACACATTTTTCTTTGACTTCTAATGTTAAATCTAAAGGAAATAATGCAAGAAATGGCAAGATTTGCACCTCTCTTGTGGCAAGAATGGGCACACTGTTGATGTTTGTTACAAGAAACATGAATTTCCCCTTGGACACAAATTTCACAACGTAAGGAAGGACATAAACAATGTGGTGACAGTGGATAGTACGTTCACCAACGATAAAAAACAACAACATGAGTCACAGGAAGTTCACTTTTCACCACAACAATATAAGGCATTGCTAGCTTTGATCCCACAACCACCTCAAGAACATTCAGCTTCCTCTCCTCCACATATAAGCCAAAATGTCTTTGTTTCTTCGCTTACCCAATGGTCATCATGTTCATGCCACTCATTCAGACACTGTTCATTTTTCTTCTTTTCTCATTTTAACCGATGTCCTTTATATACCATCATTGCACTTCAATCTCATTTCTATTTCTAAACTTAGTTCAAATACTAAATGCCAACTCATTTTCTCCTCTACTTCCTGCGTTTTACAGGATACGACCACTCAAGCTAGGATTGGTACAGCTGAAACAAGGAACGAGCTCTATATTCTTACCTCTATAGTACCCAAAAATAACACCATACAAACTACCCTTGTCCACCGAGAATGTCACATTGTTCCTATTGACCTTTGGCACTTTAGAATGGGTCATTTATCCCATGAACGTTTACAAATCATTAAAACTCATTATCCTTTTTTGCGTAATAATGAAAAGCACTTTCCATGCAATACATGTCACTATGCTAAGTTTAAAAAGCTTCCATTTCCATCAAGTAATTCTCATGTTGTCAAATGTTTTGATCTTCTGCATATGGATATATGGGGTCCCTACTCGAAAACTTCCATGCATGACCATCGTTATTTTCTCACCATTGTTGACGATCATTCTCGTTTCACATGGGTTCACCTTATGTACACAAAAGCCGACACACGAAACATAATCAAAGATTTTATTGCATATATTGAAACACAATTTAACAGTAAAATAAAAACCATACGAAATGATAATGAATCTGAATTTATTATGCATATTTTTTTCAAATCCAAAGGAATCATTCATCAAACTACGTTGCACCTTCTGAATGTTACTCGCGCTCTCATTTTTCAAGCTTAGTTGCCTCCTAGCTTCTGGTGTTTCGCGCTTCCCCATGCCATATATTTAATCAATTACATTCCCACCCCATTTTTAAATAATATCTCTCCACACTAGTGCAGATTAGGGCTTTTACGTCACCCAATTGTCGTCGCATGCATGTATATTCGACGTAAATAAAACGCGGTGACAATTTTGTAAATATGAGACAAAAAATTTACGTCGCACATCCCAGTATGCGACGTAAAAAGTCTCTTTTACGTCGCACCTGGGAAGCGCGACGTAAAAGATGGCTTTTTACGTCACGTGCTGGGATGCGCGACGTAAAAAGTCTATTTTATTTCCCTCCAGACCCACTTCCTCGTCTCGCGCAACCAGGGTTTTTGAGAACGACGACGAGAACGACGACAACAGCTACCTCTGCACACCATTTTCGAGCAGTTTTACAGTGAAAAGCATCTACATTATCGTGTCATTTGACGAACTTGATCTTTCTGCCCGATTGGAATCGAGTTTGAAATCAGTTATCGTCTACACTCGAGGTTAGTGTTCTATGTCCCGTGATTGTTTTTGGGGATCTCAATCACGTTATAGTATGAATGTCTCCATTGCATTGTTATTGGAATGTAATTATTTGTTTATTTGTTTGAGTGCATTCGGTTTACACACTCCATTGTTGTTGGAACGTGATTTGTTGTTTGTATATTAATTTTTTTTACATATACTTTTTAAATCTTTAGGAGTGACGAAACTTTATAACATAATATGAATCGAAGTTGGATGAATGCACGTCGTATTAGTGAAGAATACGAAAAGGGAGTTGAGGAATTTTTGAAATTTGCTAGTGAGAATGGAAAAGCTATGAAAGGGACATATTATTGTCCATGTGTTCGTTGTTTGAATCAAATTCGTCATAAACTTGAGGATATACGTGATCACTTGTTTGTTTATGGTATTATTAAGAGTTATACAATATGGACATGGCATGGAGAAATATTAGACATCCCAACCGTGTCAACTACGGACAATTTTGATGAAGGGATGGATGATAATCTAGAGGATATGATACGTGATATTGGTGAAGAAAATTTTATGAAAGCACATCTATATGATTCTTTGAAATTAGATTTTGCGCAACAATTGTACATAGGATGTAGTTTTACAAGATTATCAGCAACTTTAAAATTGTTTACTTTAAAAGCAAGAAATGGATGGACTCGAAAAAAGTTTCACCGAATTATTGGAGTTGTTGAAGGAGATGCTTCTCGAAGATAATACATTACCTATTTGTAACTATGAGGCAAAGAAGATATTATGTCCAATGGGTTTAGAGTACAAGAAAATACATGCATGTCCTAATGATTGTATATTGTACGGAAAGGATTTTGCTAAATTAAAGATGTGTCCGACATGTGGTTTGTCGAGGTTCAAAAACAAAGTTGAGGAAAGTAGTGGTGAGGAAGAAGTAGATGGTCCCCCTGCTAAGGTGTTATGGTATTTGCCAATTATACCTAGGTTTAAAAGATTATTTGCCATAAAAGAAGATGCAAGAAACTTGACATGGCATGCAAATGGTAGAAAATGTGACAATCTTCTTCGACATCCAGTCGATTCTCCACAATGGAAAAGGATTGATGAAACCTTTCCAGAATTTGGTGCAGAGCCAAGAAACTTGAGAATTGGATTAGCTACGGATGGGATGAATCCTTATGAAAATTTAAGTAGTAAACATAGTTCATGGCCAGTTATGTTGATCATTTACAATTTGCCTCCTTGGTTATGCATGAAGAGAAAATATATGATGTTATCTATGATGATTTCGGGACCTCGACAACCAGGAAATGACATAGATGTATATCTTAGTCCTTTAATTGATGATTTGAAAATGTTGTGGGAAACAGGAGTGGATGTATTTGATTCATATCACGAAGTGAATTTCAGAGTTGCGTGCAATGTTATTTTGTACTATAAATGATTTTCCAAGCATATGGTAATTTGAGTGGTTATAGTGTGAAAGGTCATTTAGCGTGTCCTATATGTCAAGAAGACACAAGTTATATCCAATTGAAACATGGACAAAAAACTGCGTACAATAGGCATAGAAAGTTTCTAGTTGCTAATCATCCATATCGTAAAATGAAAAAAACATTTAATGGATGTCAGGAGAATGCAGTTGCATCAGTACCACGCAATGGTGAACAAGTATATGAACAAGTGAAAAATATTAATATTGTGTTTGGAAAGACCCAAAAGAAATCCACTGAGAAAAACATTTGGAAGAAACAATCTATATTCTTCAATCTTCCTTATTGGTGTAAGTTGGAAGTTAGACACTGTATAGATGTGATGCATGTTGAAAAATATGTTTGTGATAGTATAATTGGGACATTGCTTAACATAAAAGAAAAGACAAAAGATGGAATAAAAGCAAGACAAGATTTGGCAAACATGGGTATACGTTCTGAATTACATCCACAATCAGTTGGAAAACGCACTTACTTACCTCCAGCTTGTCATACTCTATCAAAGAAAGAAAAGAGAAGCTTTTGTGAGTGTTTACGTGAGGTCAAAGTGCCACAAGGATACTCCTCAAATGTTAAGAGTCTTGTGTCTATGCAAGAGTTGAAATTAGTTGGTTTAAAGTCTCATGATTGTCATGTGTTGATGCAACAACTTTTACCAGTGGCTATTCGAAACATCTTACCAACTTCTGTTAGAATTGCTATTACTCGGTTATGTTTATTTTTCAACGCCATTTGTAAAAAGGTAATTGATCCAAAAAAGTTAGATGAATTAGAAAATGAAGCAATTGTGATAGTGTGCCGGTTAGAAATGTATTTTCCCCCTTCATTTTTTGATATCATGGTGCATTTGATAGTCCATTTGGTAAGGGAAATTCGGTTATGTGGTCCAATTTTTCTTAGATGGATGTATCTTGTTGAGAGATACATGAAGATCTTAAAAGGATATGTGAAGAATCAAGTACAGGCCGAAGCTTCTATTGTGGAAAGGTACATTGCGGAAGAAGCCATTGAGTTTTGTCAAGGATACATGTCAAAATCGGAACCAATAGGTATTCCTAAGATGAGACATGATGGAAGATGTGAAGGTAAGGGTACTCGAAATTTGAAGATTAAAAATGTTAGTCGGAAAGAAGTTGACCAAGCACATTTATACATATTGAACAACACCGATGAAGTAATCCCTTACATATCACAACACATAACTGAAATAAAGGCAACACATCCACGAATGAATGAAAAATGGGTATTGAATGAACATAACAAAAGTTTCCTTTCTTGGTTTAAAAAAAGGGTATATGTTGAGATTAATGCTTCGTAAACACTTCGAGACTTGCTCGTGGGCCTAATAGTGATGTCATTACATTTGGTGGGTATGACATTAATAACTATTGTTTCTACTCAAAAATAGAAGATGATAAAGGTAGAGTACAAAATAGTGGGGTCACAATTCAAGCTGAATCTATGCATTTTTCTAGTTCTAAAGACAAAAATCCTATCACAGCCTTCTATGAGTTATTTTGGGGTCATACAAGAGATATGGGAAATTGATTATGTTACTTTTAGGGTGCCTGTCTTCAAGTGTAAATGGGTTGAAGGGAATACGGGTGTGCGAACAGATGACCTAGGATTTACTTTGGTTGATTTGAGTAAAGTTGGGTATAAGGATGAACCTTTTATTTTGGCATATCAAGCGAGACAAATATTTTATGTCAAGGATCCATGTAATGAGAGATGGTCAATTGTCCTAGAAGGAAGAAACATGCACGGAATTCATGAAGATGAGTCTCTAGATATACATGAAACACCTTCATTTTCAAGTAGACCATTTGATGACATAGTTGACAATGAAGTTGATGACATACATGCAATTCAAAGTGATCATGATGAAGGGATATGGGAAAACATACCAACATAATAGGTGTTTATCTTAACATTTTCTAGTTCTTTTTATTCAAACTTATAAAGTATGTTGACTTAATATTGTTTTGTTTTTCAGGGATATGTCGGATTCCACAGTGGTACTTGGTAGTGGTAGTGGCGATGGCAGGGAGCGGAAGTGGTGATAAAGGTAGATCTGTCACTCGGTTAAAGGGGTTGACGACAAGGAGGGTAGCTAGAGAGAAAACTCAAGTTGAAGTTGATCCACGTTCCGGTAAGGCATCCGGCCCAAATGCTGCTAAGTTTAAGAGCTATTTGGGACTACTAGCTCGACACCATGTTCCGATTACTACTCCATCTTGGGATGATGTTGAGGAAACCGAGAAGAACCTCATGTGGTAGGATGTTCAGGTATTTCTATATTTGTTGAATACTTTATATATCATTATTAATTGAATTTAACATTTATTGGTCATTTCACGACAAAATTTTGATGTTCCTAACACCGAGGTGATGAGGAAGAAGATTTTATCCTCCATTGCCATTAGATGGAGGGACTTTAAGACTTTCTTGACACGGGAGTATGTATTTGGAAAGTTTCGAGATGAATCTCCCTGTGTAAAGTATCAATTTAGTGAGGAGGATTGGTTACGGTTTTGTGCCAGCCGAATGGACCCCTCTTGGCAGGATAAAAGACAAGCCGCCCAACAACGTCGGAGGTTGAATGATGCACCCCATGTATTGTCACGAGGAGGGTATGCATTATTGGAGCAACGTCTCATGAAATCCAGAGAAGAGTCAGCAGGAGTTGATTCTACCGACCTTGCATCTCCACCCCTCGCTATCGGATGTGGAAGGCAGCCCGGACAAAATCCGATGGACAAATGACTTCCGAGTCCGCACGAATCATTGCTCGAGAAAATCGTAAGTTATAATGTCAATTTGAATTGATTCTAATTTGAAAGTTAGTGTATGACTTAATTATTGTTAATGTGTTGTAGGATGATTTAGTTGAGCGAGACCGACCAAGGATCATTTATTCCTCATGGTCGACAAGATATATTGGCGACGACCATAGGAAAACCAGATTACTCGGGACGTGTGCGTGGTGCTGGTGGAACCCAGGGCCTTCGTGATTACTTTGGTCCAACATCACGAAGGACCACTGCTCGACTCTTGCAGCCAGGAGGCCTTGCATAAAATGGAGATGCAGTTTGAAGAAAAGTTAAATCAAATAAGGCAGTCCTTGCAGCAAGAGTTTGATGAGAAAATTGAATCTCTCGCCCGCTCTCAGCAACGAGACTCAAGGAACACCTCAAACAATTGAACATGATATTGTTCGAGTCGGCACTAAAGGGAGTTGTGCTGCTACTCATCGTTGATCCTTCGGAGAATATACTCGAGATCGATGCATCACACCGAGTGTGAGTTATATGTTGAAGATGACCCCCGTGTCTAGTGGTCGTTGGTCGAGTTTTTTAGGGTGGCTTAACCATCCATGGTGTCCCTCTACGACCGGACTGGACACGAGTAGTAGTTGATGAAGTTCATGATGCTAATGCTCCAAGTGCCTTTTCCTAATGAAGAGATTCAATTAGTGGGGCAGACAAGCGGGACATTCTTGGCTTGGCCAAGACGTTTGGTTATGCCACTATCAGACACAGACCAAGGTAATATGTATATATATATATACATATTGTCTATTTACTCTTTTCTAGTATTATAATTATATAAATGTTTAATTAATTGTTATCATTTGTTTAGGAGGACTTGTGTCGTGCAAAGCATAAAAAACAACCTATTATTGATGAGGATCTGACAGAATGTGATGATGATCCCATCTCTATGTTGTTAGCCGTATTACCACGGTTGAGGAAGAGACCCTGTCAGATACAATGGGATGTTAGAGTGTTTGAAATTGACAATTCCAGGTGTTCCATTGTACATTTCCTTGCCCGATGCTTTAGAAATTGCTTGGGGAAATTGCATGTTAAACATTTCCATCATACAATTGTGGGCAATGTAAGTCATTTTCATTTATGTTTCTAAGATTATAATAATTATATTCAACTTATAATTAATTGTTTTAGGTACCTTGACAATTTGAGTGTGGAACAAGAAAAATCCGAAGTGTACGGATTTATTGAGCCTCAATCCATCCAAAAATCTGGAAATACAAAGGTTGGAATCCAACAATATATGCAAACATGGATGAGTGACTCAAGAAGACATATATATTTGGCTCCATACATTGAAGGGTTAGTATTTTAATTTGTATTTTAATTTATATTTTTGTAACTAATTTTTATGTCATACAATGTAGGTCCCATTGGCGATTAATTGTAATCATGCCCCAGGATTACACTCGTGGTGTGGTTTTGTTCATTACATCGGAAACCGAGTCAAGAAATGAAAAGCTTATTACAAGGGTAACTTTATCTTTTATTCATTAATTATGTTTTTAAATTGTGAATACATATTGAATAATATATGACTTTTTTTCACTTAGAATCGTGTCTCGGAACTAATGTTCTAAGTGGAAAACCTAGAACAAAGACTTTGCAGTTCATTTATCCTAAGGTTAGAAACTTATTTATATAAGTGAATACCATAATTATTGTTTGTATTTCAATTTTGAAAATAATATTATGTTTTTTTCATCATTTCAAGTGTAATAAGCTAACTGACTCGTTTGAATGTGATTATTATGTAATGTATTGGATGAGAGTCATAGTTTGTGCGGGTTTAATTGATTCTTGGACTGGAGGTAATTACTTTTAACATTAGTTAAGTTTATTTAACTTTATTCATGTTGCATGCTTACAAGAGTCAAATTCATGTTTCGGTATTTCAAGATCCATCTCCATTACGAGAATCCGAGATTACGTAAATTAGAGAACAATGGGCAAAATTTTTTGTTCAACAATTCTAGTACATTATTTTTTAAGTTCTTGTTCATATTATATTGTGTGTATTATGTAGTTTAGTTTAGTTTGTATAGGTAGCTTAGTTTGTATAGGTAGCTTAGTTTGTAATAGATTTTTTAGTTTGTATGTTTGTATTATATTGTTTTATTATGTAGTTTGAATTATATAATATTATATTTTTAATTTACTAGCTAAAGAAAACTCGAACCTCTGGACTGTCTGGATTACTATTTGCAGGTTTTAGTTGTAAAACAGAATAAATAAACCCAATTTAAAAAAAAACAGTAAATTTATGTCGCATATTGGTATATGCGACGTAAATTTACGTCGCGTATTGGTATATGCGACGTAAATTTACGTCGCGTATACCATATACGACGTAAATTTTTTGTTTTTTTTTTTTAAATTGAAAAGGTTTTTACGTCTGTTTATTGTAAATCTACGTCGGATCTTGATAACTGACGTAAATCTACGTCGGGCAAAAGGGTCCGACGTAAATTTACGTCTCCCGCTTTAACGTCGGACTTAAATACGACGTAAAAAGCCCTAAATACCTGACGTAAAAGCCCCTTTTTGCACTAGTGCCATATGAAATTCTTCATGGGATACCCTGTGACATTTCCAATCTCCGAGTTTTTGGTTATCTTTGCTACAGTAGTACACTCACAATCTCTGAGGAATCATTACAGTCTAATGGCTGTTACATTTTACGAAGATAATTTTCCTTCTTTTTCTCATACACAATCAACCTCAATCTGTACCTCCCCTTCCCCTTATTCCTTTAGACATTTCGACCCTCTACCCCTAACTTCATCTCGACTTGTTTCTGATCCTCCCATTCATCGATCCCACATTTGATTCTTCACCATTACGACGTTCTACCCGAGCAAAACACCCACTCTCTTACCTTCAAGACTATCACCATACACTTGCTACAACTGGTATCACCTCCTCGCCGAGTGACAAGTATCCTCTTAGTTCTGTTCTATCTTATTCTTGTCTTTCTTATTCTTTTCGTCATTTCATTCTTTCAATCACCTCTTCTTCTGAACCTTCTTCCTATGTTCAGGCTTCTCGACATGACTGTTGGATTAAAGCCATGCAGACTGAATTACATTCTTTAGAAAAGAACAACACCTGGACTCTTAGCACTCTTCCTCCTCATAAGACAACTATTGAGTGTCGCTGGGTCTATAAAATTAAGTTTCATGCTGATGGTTCCATCAAACACTACAAAGCTCGCTTAGTTGCAAAGGGGTACACACAGTTAGAAGGCTTAGATTTTCTGGATACATTCTCTCCTGTTGCCAAGCTTACAACGATCAGCTTGTTTCTTGCTTTGGCTTCCCTTCAGAACTGGCATCTGAAACAACTCGACTTTAATAATGGTGATCTTTATGAAGAGGTTTACATGCAGCTCCCTCCAGGTCTTTCCACTCCTCATCCTAATCTCGTGTGTCGTCTTCAACGTTCCCTTTATGGACTCAAGCAAGCCAGCCGACAATAGTTCCATCGTCTCTTTGCTTTCCTGACTTCTTATGGATATATTCAATCCCATTCTGATAATTCGCTTTTCATGTGTTTTACAACCACTACATCTACTTTTCTGCTAGTTTAGGTCGATGATATTGTTCTAACAGGAAACAATATTGATGAGATTAATCACATCACTGCATTGCTCGACCAAACTTTCAAAATAAAAGCTCTCGGTGACTTAAAATATTTCCTTGGCCTTGAAGTAGCTCGATCTCGAACTGGTATTCATCTTTGTCAACGCAAGTATGTTCTCGACATTATTTCAGATGCTGGCATGTTAAGCTCATGACCTGTCTCTACTCCCATGGATTACTCAACTTATCTTCACAGTGCTTCCGGAACTCCTTTGACTGACATCTCTGCTTCATCCTATTGTCGTCTTGTTGGTCGTCTTATTTATCTTACCAACACACGTCCAAACATCACCTACGTTGTTCAACCACTTAGTCAGTTTATGGCTCATCCTACGACTTCTCATTCTCAAGTTTCTTTTCGCGTTCTTCGTTATCTCAAAGGCTCTCCTGGTTCTGGTATATTTTTGCCTGCTCATGGTGCTCTTCATCTTAAAGTCTATAGTGATTCTGACTGGGCAGGGTGTCCTGATTCTAGACGTTTTATCACTGGGTTTTCTGTATACCTTGGGAACTCTCTTATTTCATTGCATTCGAAGAAACAAACTACAGTTTCTCATAGTTCGTATGAAGCTGAATATCGTGCCCTTGCATCAACTACATGCGAACTCCAATGACTCACTTTTCTCCTTCGAGATACTCGTGTTTCTTTTCTTCAACCTGTTGTTCTTCATTGTGACAACAATTCTGCGATACAGATTGTATCTAACCAGGTCTTCACTGCTAGACAAAAAATGGTTAACAGTTACCTAAATTAGTAACAAAAACAGTCAATGATACGGTCACAAAATCACTCACTGATTCGATCACTACTAGAAAAATGATCACTACTAGAAAAATGGTTAATAGTGATCGAAATTAGTGACCGAAGAATTCAGTTACTAATACCAACTGAATCGGTGACTGATTTTTCTTTTTATATATAGTGACCGATTTAGTGACTAAAATTTTCGTCACTAAACAAATAATATATAAATTAGTGACCATTTTTTATTTATATAAATAATTTTTAAAAATATTTTAATAATATATTAAATATAAATCTACTTAATAATTTAAAATAATTGATAATTTTTTTAATAACATTATAAAAAATTTAAAAGATAGTTTATTAACTTATTAAATAATTTAGTAATATAATTATTTTATTTTATTTTTTAATTTAGTATGTGAATAAAAAAATTAAAATTAATTATTAAATTAGTCACAGATTCAATCATTAAAATAATTATTAATTTAATCTCTTATATATATATATAATTAATGATTAAATTAATTATTAATTTAGTCACTTTTTGATATATATATATATATATATATATATTATTTTTATGTTAATAAAAATGTATTTCAATGTATTTATAAAAAAATTAAAATTATTTTAATTATTGAATTGATATTTCAAATTTATATTAATATTTTAAATAATTTAGTAATTGGATAAATATTTTAAGTTTATATTAGTATTTTTATAAAAGTGTAAAGATTAAGTGAACTTATTTTAAAATTTAATTAAACATAATAAATAATTAAACATAAATCAATGCAGATTTAGTTAGAAATTAATTTTAAGTTTTATCGTTTTTATTAAAAAAAATTGTTAAAAAAATCAAAATAATTAATTAAAATAAAGAATTTTAAGTTAATAAATGTGTTAATATTATTAGTTATTGGAGAATTAAATTTATAATAATAATTATATAAAATTATAGAATTAATAAAATTTAAATTATTGGTAGTTTTTTAATCATGAAGCTAAAATTTGATAATATTAATAAATTAAAATTAAAAAATAAAAAAAGTTATATATATATATATATATATATATATATCACTTTAATTATTTTAAAAATAATTTCATAAAAAAACTAATATTTGAAAATAAAAATGCAAAAGTATATAGTTTTTATTTTATTTAATTATATTTTTTATTTTTTACTTTTTGGGTTTTAGTCCATAACAACAATTTAATTGTTCTAATTTCCACAAAATATATAATTTCTCTTATTAACAATTTTTTTAATCAGATTAAGAAAATTATTACTAATAAGATTCAAAATCAGTACCTTAGAGTTAGATATTAATACTCCAACCACTAAACTGTTAGAATTTTTTAATAAAAATTTACAAATTAATTATATTTATATACAAATAAATATATATTAGTGTAAATATATAAATATAAAATATATAAATACAAATATATTTATATATTTTGATATATTTATATATTTATATGTTCGATGTGAGGATCACGCTAGAGGGTGAAAGTGTGTGTCGAGTGAGTTTTCAAAATTTGATGTCAAATTTGTGAGCGAGTCTCTTTATATGAATTTGTAATTTAATGATAGAATATAATCTTTATAATTTATTTATATAATGATATAAAATAATTGTTTTCTTTATTTATTTTTATTTTATTTTAATTTATTCTTTTTATCTTTCTTTTTTTCTTCTATTATTTAATTAAAATTCTAATATTAAAATAATTTTTCATTATTAAAAATAATTAAATATTTATTTTTAAAATTATTTTAAAATTATTTTTAAAATTATTTAATTTAACAAATTATTATGAATTAATCTATGTCTGGAAAAAATAATTATTAAAAAGATGATTTTGATTAATTTATAATAATATATGTTAGGAAAAAATTGTTCTATTAATAATTATAATTAGATTAATTTATAATAATTTGTTAAATTAAATAATTTTAAAAATAAATATTTAATTATTTTTAATATTGAAAAAATTATTTTAATATAAGAATTTTAATTAAATAATAGAAGAAAAAATATAAGAAGAATAAATTAAAATAAAATAAATTATAAAGATTATATTGTGTCATTAATTATAAAGTCATATAAAGAGACCCGCTCACAAATTTGACATCAAATTTTAAAAATCTACTCGAGACACTTTCACCTTCGAACGTGCCCTCACATCCATATATATATATATATATATATATATATATATATATATATATATGTATTTGTATTTATATATTTTATATTTATATATTTACATGAATATATATTTTTATTTGTATATAAATATAATTTATTTATAAACTATTATAAAAAATTCCTAGTAGCTAAGTGGTTGGAGTATTAGTTTCTAACTCTAAGGTACTAGGTTCAAATCCTCTTAGTAACAATTCTTTCAATCTAATGATAATTCAGATTTCTAAAATATATTATAAAAGAATATAAAAGATAATTCAAATTTCTAAAATATATTATAAAAGGAGATTAGAGAGTTATAAAAAAATATTTTTAATTTTTTAACGTTTGACTCAATCGGTCACTGAAATCAGCGACCAAGGAAATAGTGACTGATTTGGGTTGGTTACTATTTCGGTCACTATTTTAGTTAGTGACCGATTTTGATCATTTAGTGACCGAAAATTCGGTCACTATTTGATGTTTTTGTTGTAGTGCTTTCACGAGCGCACAAAACATATTCACATTGACTCGTCATATAGTTCATAAATGCATAGTAATGAGACTCTGAAACTTGTGCCAATATCCTTGTCAATGTAACTTACTGACTTGTTTACCAAAGCTCTTCCACCGTCATCCTTCACGCATCTTTGTTCCAAGTTGGGAATGTCAAATATTCACTCCCAGCTTGAAGGGTAGTGGCGGATCTTGACCATTTATCTTGGGGGACCAAATAATATATTATTAATAAATAATAAATAAATATAAAAAGAAGAAAGAAGATGAAATGGTGAAAGGATAAAATTATAGATATATACTTAAATATATTAAATGATCATTAAGTTTGAGGGACACAAAATCATAAATTATATAAGAGTTACAAAACTGAGGAAGAGACTGAGAGGATAGAATTGTAAATATATTAAATGTTTATTAAGTTTTGAAGACCAAAATCATTAATTATATGGGAGTGACAAAATTTGAGAAGCAACGACGGATTGAGCTTCAAAGAAGATCAGTCACTGTTGAAGGGACTCTTACGGCGTAATTTATTTTTGTGTATTTTTTACGTGTGACTACGTGCGCTCCTTACCTCAGTTTGTTATACGTTTTCTTTAACAACTTTATTCCTTTTCTCTTTGTATATTAGCTAATATTTCAGATAATGAGAATCAAGAACTGGTGTTTGATCGTCTCTATCACGTGTCTTTTAATATAATTTATCCTAATTGGACAGATAAATATTCAATACAAATATTAGAATTTCATTTATTCTTGTTTTGAATCTCAAACGGAGACTAAAGTTTAATCATAAATGCCTAAGTTAAATCCAAGATATAATAAGTCAACTCATTAATAAATATCACAAAATAATCATAGAAAAAGGTGGTACAAAGTACATGATGCCCAAACTATAAGTTTGAAGATGTTATCGCTTCCAAGTCCTTACTTTCTCAAACCTCCACCCAACTTTGACCCTAGGAGCTTCCAACAAACCTCATTCGATAAAGGAAATTTTTAATAAATTCAAACATTATAACTGCTGAAAAAAAAAAAACTTGGATGACCCGTTGTTACATACACTATTTAGTACAACTATTCAAGTCAAATTTTACCAAATTTGGTGAATGATAAGCATGAATAACTACTAGCCGCACTAGTATAAGTAACACAACCATAAGTGTGATTAGCACAAAATAAAGACGAAATAAATTAAATCACGACAAATTAAAACAAATAAAAACAAAAACAAGCATCAACACAAACATATGGATTTAAATTATGAGTGAAACCAATGATTCTAGATGACAACAACCAAATTTAATGATTAAGTCATATTATACATAAAAAAAATTATCAATTAAAAACAAAATATAATTAAGGTTTCGTTGAACCCTCATTTATTTACTATAATCAATTAATTATTAGCAACCTTGTAACTTTATTCTACTATGTAAGAAGGAAATTAACTAAAACAAACAAAATATTTAAAAAAGCAAAACATATGTTCTATATCAATTATAATCTCTATTGATGGAGCTGTATATATGTTGGTTTTATATAACGAGTTTTTTAAGGAATTAGATAATACTTTTGTATGTTTATTATTTAACTTATATGATTGCAGATTGATTTTAAAAAATTCAAAATAATCACTCCTAAAAGTCTTTTATACAATATCTGAGTGATTATAAATTAACACGTGAACACCAATATTTCAAAAATAACATTTATTATGATGACCAAATAAATATATTTATTACACGTGAACATAAAAAAATACTGAAAATTTTAAAAGTTAAGCGTACCAATTTAAAAAGAGGTAATTTTTTGTGTTACGAGCAAGTACTTATTTAATCGCTTAAGAATCAAATGACACAAACTCAAGAAGTTGTGGATTTTGTTCAAAATGCTCCATGTCACGCGTGGTCAAGGTTACCCATGCATCGATGCCATCTCCTTCCTTTGTACCCATAAAAATCACCACGTTCGCCATGGGCACTCCGAGAGTGCGCACGTAAGTTGGCCTTCCCCATCCAAAATCCGTTTCATAGAACCCAAATCCTACCCAACTGCTGAACACATAACATGGAACACCCTTTAGGGAAGCCATTATTCTTGCTTCCTTCAAAGATTCCATTACCTTAAAAAACTCCACACCCTGAAGCTTACTCAGATAATTTCCATCAACTTTTCTTACTGTTTCCCTCACTCTCTCACCCAAATCGCGCAACCCCACTTCGCTTTCTACCTCCATCAACGGAGACACTGCTGGTTGCCACAGATTTCCCATTGAATGCTTCGACAAAGTTGAGCCCATTTTGCTGCGAATGTTCACTGCATGGGATATCATCGACGTGGGAAATTTTCGTTCCGCTGAACATGCTTTCGCCGCCTCCAATGATGATTTCAATATGAGTGCAGTCACGGCTTCAACTCGCGTGGGGCTGAAATCCAAGCATCCCACTGTTTGCTTCAGTCTAGATATGTCGGTCCCATTAAATACGAACCTCTTTGTTACAATGTTTTTGTGGCCAATAATGCCACGAGTAGTATCCATTTCTATCTTCCTCGGTGGGAAAACCAGCGCCCCTTCTTCCATCTCAGGTGGTATCAATCTGTTGTCTTCCCTTCTGCAAAACATAAAATTAATCCCAGAGCATTTTGTGTATAATTTTTAACTTGATGTAAGCTGTTGTGGTGTGTTTCTCAATCATAGAAATTACTGCAGTATCTCCACAACGCAAGTTGCAAAGAAATCACAACAAAACATAGAGATTAAGCAAAGATTGAAAGTTCATGCAGTTATTCTATCTTATAGCTATTAGCAGTGGAATAATTGGTGAATCCAAGACCCAACAACCAGGGGAAAATTTTATTTTTAAAAAATTAAAGTAAAATATTCTATTATCATATATACATGTATTTTTATATTAATATGTGATTTTTTATGTAACATATGGGTCAATATACGAATTTAGAGGTACACTTTACACTCTTTAATTTTAGAGAAAATGAGGGTGCAATTTTCCATCCTTAATATAAAAAGGGTCTGCCTCTGGGTGGAATATCGCGTAGAGTGTTGGGAAATACAGGATCATATCAGTTTTTAAGGGCACATCTGCAACATATATACCCTCATAGGTGCTTCCTGATTAAGATCTAACTGGGAGTCGCTACCGCAAGGACAGCTTATATATTGATTTCTTGATGATGCATCGGTGTCTTATATTTTTATAAAATAAACATTCAAAATATATTTATACAATATGTGGGTCTCTTAGATTCGTTGACCTTAAATAGCACAGGGAAAATCAATATTAATGGAAGGTCTAACATATATATACCTTGATGTTGCAGCCCAAGCGGTGAGGAAGGATGCAACTGAGGAAGCATCAGCGATCTTGTGGGAGAAGCAGACGCCAAGTGCGACGCCCCCACACTTGAATTGGTTCAGCTGAACGGCCATGTTCCCCAGCGGAGTTTCCCTTGAAGGGTTGAAGGGATCGCATGGGAAAAGTTGGTTGATCTGGTAAAGGTTAGAGTTTTTGAGAATGTTTGAGAGTTCTATGGGAACTCTAGACTCTGTGAAAAGAACGCCCTCGTCGTTGCACTCAACGGCTGAATTGCCTCTCAGGGTTCCGCAAAAGGGGTGATAGAGAGTGAGGACTTGTGATAAAGAAACCTTCAACTTGAGAGATAATGTTTTGAAGTCTGCAGCATCGGAAGAAGAGTAAAAGAGGAGAATAGGGACGTAGAACGGAGGAGCCAACTGATCGAGGAGGGAGAGTTTCAAGTATCGACGATCAAAAGGTGTTGCATATGATGGCTTTATTGTCTCCTTAGATACAATCTCAGCTTTCACTTCCATTTCTCACAAAAACAAGCTATCACAATCTTTACTCACTTTTTGTGCTATTAATTCTTATATAGATCAAGTTTCTGCTTTTGTTATCTCTTTATATAAAATATAAAAAAAATTGATATTTTCACAACTCAAATTATTAATGTAATAAGAAATATTATTATTTAATTAATAAAAATGGTTGAAAATGTTTGTTTACAAGCTAGGATGCCAATGCAGATTGATAGTCCAGGTTGGGCAGATCCCCGTTTATGCTCACAAAAACAGATTCGCGGTTTAAATATTTGCATACGTCTTTCACAACTCTTAATTTTATATTTATTTATTATTTATTAATAATATATTATTTGACTCTACAAAATTAAAAATCAAAATAGATTTAAGTTTACCTCATTGTTGTTAACCTTTGTTAAATGTTGCTGCTTGTCTCATAGGATTTGTATTGAGTGAGTCAACGGGATATTCATTCTGATATTTTTCTAATCCAAACTCATAAACATAAAATAATTATTATATTATTGTTATTTAAAACAGTTGAATCTGATTACTGTGACTTATTCGAAAACAACTTGAATAGTTAAATAAAAGACTTTTAACCTAAAAAAATTAAGACTTTTATTCACTTTATTTGAATAGCATTACTGTACACGTTAATTGTAAGACTTTTATTTAAATTGCTTAAATCTCACTACTGTGCACGTTAAATGTAAGACTTTATTTAAATTGCTTGAATCCCGCTACTGCACATGTTAAAATATAAGAAATGTATTCGCGAAATAATTTTGTTATGTTATTCTTTTTTACACAATAAAATAAGACAAACATGATTTATAATAAAGTGGTATAAAAATATTTTACAAATTTTTGCATTAATTATATAATATTAAATAAAAATATTTTTTTATTTAATCCTCTTAAACATATATTAATATTATAATAATATACAAAATAAATATATCCAACTGATTATTAATGATACAATATCATATAATATTAATATAATACGTTAAATAATATTCAAACAACTTTGAGAATAAAATAAACTAAGTCTTTTTAATATTCGAAAGTAATTAGAGTTATACCTAAAAAGCTCTTTTATCCTTTATACATGGAAGAAATTTTTGCCTTCACTTCACGATGAAATTTTTTTAATATGAAGAAATTTAAATGAATTACTAGATAAGTATATTCGAATTTACGTGACACTATGCAGGAAAGATAATACTTTTCTGCATGGTTTACTAACACCAAAAAAAGTTTTATGATTTATCTCATGGATTAATATATTTTTATTTAAAAGATCAATGGAGAAGTATTGACTTAATTTTGTAATTAGTCACTTACACCAACCTATTTTACTCACTCTTTAGAGATTAAGATAAGAAATAAATACGTCTTTAAGAAAAATACCTAGAACAATTTATTGAAGTAAATATAACCATTCACAAATTATCCTAAAGTAATCCATGCTATAATCCTAGGAGAGAGACAATTTTCAGATAGTTTATACATGAATTATCCTAATATAATAGAAGAGCTCAAAATCTGAACTTTTAAGTTCATACAATTGAAAAAAAAAAAAATTAAATCAAGGAAAGAAGGGATAAGGAGGGAGAGAGTTTGGTCCCCATATAAGGTTTAGACAATACGATAAAGATGAAAAAAATTTTACTCTTTTAAACGTTACCATTGAGGCAAGATACCAAAATTTGCTACTACACATGAAGATGTAGTTTAGACTAAGTGAAGTACATGGCACTAAAATATTATTGACATGCAATTAAAATTTGTAGAAGAGTACAACTACTATTGAAACATAATTAAGAAGAAGATTCAAGATATCATGAAGTGAGTCACGAAACACAAAAACAGAATGAGAAGCTTTGCACAGTAAAGGAAGTGAGGGAAGTGATGAGTCTTGTTCATATGATATACTTATCTAATTAGCGTCTTTCATTACAGTTTACTTATGACATGAGGGAACACGTTCTTTGTTGCGCAAGCAAGTGCTTTAACACAAGTTATGGCTAAAAATGGTAATGATATCTCTATTCTATTTTTTATCGAGGCCGGGGCAGTTTCCGTGTCAAAAATCGCTTGTTTTCTCATTAGTTTTGCATTTTTCAAAAGACGCAACTTCAAAGAAAATCAGCGAGGATTATATGGATTGGATTTGGCATTGCGTGTGCAGTGATTTGTAGCTTCATAGCATATCGTCAAAGATTAACAACACAACAATGGTTTTAGTTTGCCAATATGTTAAGTGATAAAAATTGATGTAATTATGCTTTTAATTGTTATGTAATAACTTCAATTATATTGATTTTAATCTAATTTTCTCTTGGTGTATGATGAATTAATAGAATACCTTGATACAAAAACAAAAATCCTAATTGTGAAGATAATTGAAGAAAAATTGGAAAAAAAGAAGAAGATTTTCAGTCTAAGATTCGCTCAAGCGGGATAGATGCTCGCTTGAGCGAAAATACGTTAAACCTCTCTAGAAGTCAGTTGCTTGAGCGAAAATATGTTAAACCTCTCTGGAAGTCAGTTGCTCAAGCGAGCAAATTCTCACTTGAGCGAAAATCATTAATACTCACTTGAGCGAAAGTATCCACTTGAACGAATGACACGAAAGTTTTCTATAAATAGATTTGATGTGTTTTGAGAAAGGGGGAGTTTTTAGGGTTTTGAGAAGAAAGGTGCGACAACTGATCAAGTGTTCATCTAATCTTCAATTGATCTTGAATTCTTCTTCATTGGATCATTGTAATGACTACCATGAGTGACTAACTCCATTCTCTTAGGATTAGGTGCACTTCCTTTGAACTTTTTTGTATCTTGGTGATAGTTTGAGATATTAATCTATGTTCTTGATGTTGTTATTCTTATCTTTTGTGCCTTGGAATGATTTATTCTTGATGTTTGGGATATGATTGGAAAATATATCTTGAAACCCTAGATCAGGTAAGAATATTTGCTACGTTAATTATCAGGAATGGAATGAATGTATCAAGTACTTAACACCCTAAACCTAATACTGAAAAATCTTTTAACTGTGTGAGGAATCAATGTTTATCATGTTTTTTATGAATTTCACATGCGAGGAATCAAAGTGAATGATTTGAGTAGGTGGCACCAACATTGATAGGTTAATTGATGTTCTTAATTTGACCTAGCCATTATGCAAAAGAGGAAAAATGAAGGAAGTGAATCCTAAGTTCTTTTATTTGATATTTTCTAAAAACATTTTACAGTTCTTTGTCATTTATTTTCAACCCAAATCTTTATGAAAAATCCAATTTGTTTTAATCCACTTAGTAAGCATATGATTCAGAATTTCCAGTGAAACCGTTTCTCGTGGGATCGACTTTTATTTAATCGAAATACTATACTACGATTGATAATCTTGGTACACTTGTCAAATATTCAACAAGTATTTCTGGCACCGTTGCCGGAAAACGACGTTCTTTGAGAATTCTTTGTTTAGCTTATTAAGTATTGTGAATATTTTTTTTTTAGTTTGTCTTTTTATTTTATTTTAGTTCTCTTTTGCTTATTATTATCCTATGCTAATTCTTGTTTGAGTTGCTCTTCGATTTATGCTTTGAAGAGGACAAGTATCTACAGATAAGTTGGAATTTGATCCTGAGATTGAAAAAGCCGCTCGGAGGAATCGTGGTAGAAAAAGAAGGAAAACTCAAGAACAAGCAACAGGAGAATCAGTCAACTCTTCTCCCACACTCAACTTACAAGAACCAATCATAGAAGACATGGAGGGTGAAAGAGCAAATCCAAATCTAAATCCACCTAGAAGGACACTTGGAGGCTATGTTATGCAACAAGGCCAAGGTCCGAGATATTTCTCCAGCATTACAATACCAGCCAACCAGTCTTTGGAGATGAAGTCAACCTTCTTAAGCTTGATTAGTGCTCATCAATTCACTGGAATGGATCATGAAGATCCCTATATTCATTTGTCTACTTTTTATGAGTTGATTGGTATCATGGGATTTAAAGAAGGAGATATTGAATATGCATACATGAGATTATTTCCTTTTTTATTGGTTGGTAGGGCAAAGAAGTGGTTGAAAGCACATCCTAATCAGAGTTTGACTAGCTGGGGTAATGTTGAAGAGAAGTTTCTGAACAGATTTTTTTCTACCATCTCGCTACAATATTAAGGCAAAATCCGACATTTATACTTTCAGACAAGGAGCGGATGCACCTTTTTGTGAAGCATGGGAGATATTCAAATCATTGTTAAGAAGGTGCCCAAATCATGGATTGAAGACATTGCACAGTTGAACATATTTTGCACCGGTCTGAGACCTGACACAAAGATGCTCTTAGATGCTACAGCAGGAGGAACCATGATGTCTGTGGATGCTGAACATGCTAGAAGAATTATTGATGCACTAGCCTCTACAAACCAGCAGGCTCAACATGATAGACATCAAGTTCAAAGAAAAGGAGTACTTGAGCTTAACACTACAGATGTTATCCTAGCTCAGAACAAAATTCTAACTCAACAGATTGAAGCATTGACCAAACAAATGGCAAAGTTGCCTCAACAATTACATGTTGTCCAACCCACTTCCAATCAACAAATGAGTTGTGACTTTTGTGGAGGTGATAATCCAAATGGACACTGCTCTTGTAGAAACTCATTATATGGGTGCTCAAAGTGGTAGTGATCAAGGAAGACAAACAAATTTTCCTAATTCCAACAACTATCAAAACAATTTTTCACAAGGATGGAGAGAGAATCAGAATCAGAATTTTGGGTGGAGGCAAGGTGTTGGTACATCAAATAGATAACCTCCAAATCAACAACAATCATATCAATAACATCCATTTCAACAACAACAACAATATTATCCTGTAGTGCATGAGAGAATAGGAAAATTGGAGGACACTCTGGAGAAATTCATGCAATCTTCTTTGGCTAATAAAAAAATATACAGAGGCTTCAATCAGAAATTTAGAGACTCAGGTGGGTCAAC